TGCAGAATGAGAGATGCACATTTTTGTTTGATAAAATAGTATGTCAAAATGTTATAGTTGGAAGGCTATTTGAAAAGAAAAGCATCTCTATGTGATAATCTAAGAATATGTTTTATTCTGTTTGGAGATTAAAAAACTTTTGTAGTTTTGTACTCCGTGTGAAATTTGATTGTGTCTGATTGTTGTAGACTAAAACTTTTGTAGTTTTCTACTCTGGATAAATTGGACTATGCAATTGATTTGAAGAATATGAAAACTTTGCCTTCTAAGTTTGTGTTGTACTTTTGATTTTCTATAAACTTCACAGTTTTATAGAAATAATCTAAATACTAAGTGCTATGTCTATTTGTGATAGAGGAAAAAGATCAGTGGCTTAGAGTTTGTGATTTTGTGCCTCAATGGAATGAACTTTGACACTATGTAAAGATTGACAAAGGGAATTGAAGCACTATAATTCTTTCGTAGAATAATATTTTCAAAAGAGGTTTCATGCTGCCAATGACATTTTGATAGTCTGGGAAAATATGTTGAAAAATTATTTTTAACTACTTGAAAAATATTTTTGAGATCATATTTAAAATGTGGGGCTCTTTGCTTATGATAAAGATAAAATTCGAATTGGTGTCTAATTTAATTTTGGAGCAAAAGATATGACATTTAATGATATTGTTGTATTATGTTAGACCCACAAAATTCTTGGAGTATATTTGATATTGTGATCGTTGAGTTTCTCTTTTACTAGTATATGGTATGACTGGTATGAAAGAGTTCTTTTATGAAAAAATGTCACTTAAAATATTGTGATTTTTCATGTAAAGATATGTCTATTAAATATAACTATTTGTATAGACATGAATATTGGTGAATAGCCATTTGTCATGTTTTGTAAAAGAAGCATTTGGACTATATTGCCTTTATTGGACCTGATGAAACTTTGTCCATGGGTAGTTCTATAACAATCAAATTGAAAGTTATGGAAAGGTCCTTGTGAAAAGGACATTTGACAAGGTGCTGACTGTAAACAATGTTTGTATCACACAAAATTGTAAGAAGTTCGAACAAAATATTTGTGAGAAAAAGCTACCTCGCAGAGAGCTTTTCAAACTCAATATTTTTATTTGTTCTTACTTCCTTGAGTCAAGTTTGTGACATGAACACTTGGGGCATGTCAATTACAAAACCTTGTAAGGAAACCTGATCAACTTAGGAGTATTGTGTAACTTTGAGTGCAATAAATAAAAATGTCAAGTTTGTGTGGAATCTAAGTATGCTGAGCATTCTTATAAATCTGATTGAAAGGAATTCTAATCCTTTAGAGTTGATTTACACTAACATGTGTGATATGAAGTCAACACCATCTTGTGGTGGGAAAGAGTATCTCCTAACTTTTATTGACAATTGGATTTGATATGGTTATGTTTATTTGCTGAATGGTAAGGATGAAGCAATAGAAAAGTCTAGGCAATATAAAATTGATGTTGAAATCAATTCAGAAAAAGATAAAAAGTTATAGGGATGGAGAATATAAATCTCCGTTTGCATAAATATGTTTGGAAAGTGGATTTATCAATCAAACTACTGTCCTATTCACCTAAATCTAATGAAATTGAAAAATGAAAAACAAAACGAACTTTGAAGGAAATGATGGCTGCACTACTTATAAGTTTGGGTTTATCACAAAACTTGTGTGGAGGAAATATCCTTACTGCAAAAGGGAACAACAAAAAGTTTTGTCTTTTCAAAAAGAAAGCAATAAAAAGCTTTGTTTGTTCAGGACACAATCTAATCCATATGAGAAAGGGACAGGAAGGAAATCCAACTTGAAATATTTCAAAGTATGGGGGTGTCTAGCCAAAGTCTAAGTTCCTATTCCTAAAAGGATTAAAATAGGACTTAAGACAGTGGACTGTAAAATTAGACTTGATTAGTCTAGTGAAAGGTCTATACAACCTTGGAAAGAACAAAAGGAGAATGTACTTAATAAAGAGATTCAGAGGCGTAGTAAATGTCAAAGGACATCTACTTCCTTCGAATATGATTTTGTAACACTTCTTGTGTCATCTGTAGACTCATCCTTTTGGAAAGATGGTGTCAATAGTGAGATTGGTTCAATCTTGAGCAATCATATTGGAAGTTGGTTGATCTTCCTCTAGGAAATAAACCTTTAGGTTCCAAGTGAATCCTCAGAAGGAAAATGAAAGTCGATGGAACTATTGACAAATATAAAGCAAGACTTTTTGTCTAAGGCTTTAGACGAAAACAAGGTCTTAATCTTTTCGACATATACTCGCCAGTAACTAGAATTACATTCATTTGGATGTTAATTGTGTTAGCTATGGTATATGACCTCCAAATTCATCAAATGAATGTGAAAACAACTCTCTTAAATGGAGAATTGGAGGAAGAAATTTACATGGAAGAAGCTGAGGGTTTTGTGGTTCCTAGTAAACAAAAGAAAGTGTGTGAACTTGCTAAGTCACTTTATGGACTAAAACAAGCACCAAACAATGGCATAAGAAATTTGACCAAACTATGTTGACAAATGGATTTAAGAATGATGAAAGTGATAAATGTGTTTACATTAAAATCACAAGGTCATTGTTTGTTTGTATATTGATAACATGTTGATCATCAGTAGAGACACTAGTGATATAAATGATACTAAATGTATGCTAGAAAGCTAGTTTGATATGAAAGATCTTGGAGTTGCTGATGCGATCTTAGGTATAAAAATCCTTAGAACTCCATAATGTTTAGCACTGTCACGGTCTCATTGCTTCGAAAAGGTACTTGACTAGTTAAAATATTTGGATTTCAATATTATCAAGACTCCGATAAATGTGAGCTTTGCATTTCAAATGAGTGAAGGCAAAAGTGACTCACAATTGGATTGTGCTAGAGTATTGGGAAGTATGATGTATATCAAGAAGTGTACGCGATCAGATATAGTATGTACTATTAATAAACTCAGTCGGTTCACGAGTAATCCCAATCAAACTCATTGGATGGCAATGAAAAGAGTTCTGGGTATTTAAAACATACTCAAAACTATGTCTTGCATTATAACAATATCCAACAATATTGAAAGGATATAGTGATGCAAATTGGATCACCAGGATCAAATTAAGTAAAATCCATGAGTGGATTTGTATTTACTCTTGGTGGAGGAGCAGTCTCTTGGAAATCTTCCAAAAAGATATCTATCGCTTGCTCTACAATGATCTCTACGCTAGGTGCTCTAGATAAGGCCGGTGAATAAGTTGAAATAATCGGGAATTTCTTGATATATATATTCTTTTTTGGCCCAAACCTTTGGCATCAGTATGCATACACTTTGCTATCGCTTGCTCTACAATGATCTCTACGCTAGGTGCTCTAGATAAGGCCGGTGAATAAGTTGAAATAATCGGGAATTTCTTGATATATATATTCTTTTTTGGCCCAAACCTTTGGCATCAGTATGCATACACTTTGATAGTCAAGATGCAGTAGGTAGGGCATGGAGCATGATGTATAACGGAAAGTCTCGTCATATAAGAGATAGACATAATACCGTTAGAAAACTACTCTCTAGTGGAATTATCACAGTTGACTATGTAAAGTCAAAGGATAATGTGTCAGATCCACTTACAAAAAAGCCTAACTAGAGAGAACGTTGAAAGATCATCTAAGGGAATGGGTTTACAGCTTAGGACAAGTCATCATGACGGTAACTCTATCTAGCAGACTGGAAATCCCAAGAGTTAGATTCAAGGAGAAAAACAAAGTTGTGACTGACGGTTCGGCATTGTCAACAAACTCAATCCATTCTCATGATGAAGACAATGCCCAGGAACAAGGATACAACATTAACGCTTGTTAATGAGTTAATAAAGCTTAATATTTTTAATGATTTGCTAAGTTTGGAAGAGTTGACAAAATAGTGTATCTACGCGATAACACGGTTAGAAATCACCTATGTGAGTGTGAAGTGTAAGCCGCTTCAAAGAGAATTATTGTCAAAAGCCTATTCTCTATACACTCATGAAACCAGGAGGTGTTCATGGCTGAAACGAACACAA